AGGAAATTCCTGGATTCACGTTTACTTATTGGGGGTGTTTTAGAGGCTTACAGCCAATTTCATAATCAACTTTAAGTAAACTTTAAATATAAAGGTCCATTTGAAGTAGAAAAATCCCATCCAAAAAGTCTATTTAGCTAAAATAACTTTTAATTCTCTATCATGAAATTGGCCGTTAAACCGTTAAAGGCTGAAATGTTTTTGGATTGAATTTAGGTACCTACTATTTAAGTGCTCCTAAATTGTCAAAGAAACACTTGAATCTGTTAATTATTAACTGAATTACAGTTTTTTTTCATTATTGGCAAATTATTGGCTTCACGTTCAGTTGGTGGTGTGTCAGAGCTAAAATGTTTATGGATAGGAATTAGTGCTATTTAAGTGCTTCTCAATATTTGAAGAAAAACTTGAATCAGTTAATTATTAAACTGAAGTACAAATTTTTTTTTCATTAAGGAATTGCTGGCTTTACATTTACTTGGGGATGTATTTGCATTGCAGCGAATCTGAAAACTGCGACTAAAATGTTGTATTGGAATTTGGTGCTATTTAAGTGCTCCCAAAAAGTTGAAGTTTTAGATAGTTCAAGTTTTTCTTCGACTATTCAGGAGCACTAAGATAGCACCTAATTCCAATTATTACAACATTATAGCCACTGTTATCAGTGTTATCAGTTTCGCTGCAAATATTTACACCCCCAAGTAAACGTAAGGCCAGTAGTTCAGTTCCCTATAATAATACAAAAAAAATCTATAAATCAAATAATATAACTAATTCATGTTTTTCTTTGACTATTTAGGAGCACTTGAGCACCTAAGTCCTATCCAGAAAAAAATTAGCTTTTAACCACCAACTAGTTAAACGTGAAGCCAACAATTTCCATTTCCTAATAATGAGAAAAAATCTCTATTTAGTTTAATGATTAACTGATCAAATTTTCTTTGACTATTTGGAAACACTTGCATAGCAAGAATCATAAACTATAGGATTGCTTTTCCTTATAAGGCGTACGTTCGCCAATTCTCGAGTCGGCAAGGCCTGCGAGTGACGTTAGTACTATTAGCAGCATAGCCTCTTATAGTGGTGACGTCACCCGCAAGCCTCGATGGGATGCTTGCGATTCAGGTTGTGCTTGTTTCTTCATCGATTTTAAATGTAGAAAAGGTGATTCCTGGTAATGAAAAAAATCTGAATGATTGTTCTTCTTCGACTATTTAGGAGCACTTGGATAGCTTATTTGCTAATTCCTATCCAGAAACTAGCTTCTGCACACAGTGGCTTTACACTCGGTAAACTCCGAGCAGTCCGAGCGCGCTCGAAACATTAAGATAGCGATAATAGAATTCAACTTCTGGAATCTCTTTCTCAGTGAAAATGTTCTATCTTTGATTGTTGAGTACCCGAATCAATACATAGAAATTGTAAAACCGAAATTCATCAGATGGTTCAATTTTTTTATCAATGATTTAGTATATGTATCTCTGTGATACAGCGTGACTAATGATGTTATAAAACTCGCGATGGAAGGTTAAAATAAATTAATATTTAACCAATAAAATATTAAAAGTTAAAATTTTCCATTTTTAAAGTAAACAAAACACCACACGCACTCAATACTTGAAAAATATCGAAATAGAATTCTATTTTCTATTTTAAATACCCGCCAGATGGAGAGGGAACGGCAACGCTGCACCCATTTGCGCTACAACAACTGGCATTCGTTTCGATGAGGGTCATACTCCGGTCGGACTTCGGCTCGTCCGACGTTCCCGCCCGAAGGCGACTTCGGGTGGGTAGAGCAAATGAACATTAGCACAAATGGGGTGATCCCTTCGAATAGAACTAAATAGCACAAAGTATATGGGCAACTGGCTGGTTTCTCCTGCAGCGGCCATTAAAACCGATTTTTTGGACTACCCTATTGAAATAGTTTTTAAAAAGGACATTTTAAGGTTTAAAAAGTCACAAGGACTGTCCTTTTTAAAAAAGGACAAGTGGCAACCCTACCACCAACCCAGCATCTTTACGACAAAACAGCGAGACCACCAAATAATTGGGAATAAAGCAAGGCATACATGGCTTTAACCAATGCTCAGTAATTAGCTCAAAACATGGATTATTTTGTGAATCTAGAAATATACTCAACTTATTATAGCCTTATTATTGGCTATCCAAACTAATAAATGTAACACTATATTTGGATATATGCATTTTATTGTCTCGTCTAGTGGAGCTGGAATGTCTAAAAAAGTACCATTTATATCAGACATAGTTTTTTCAGCGTTGATGACATTGGTCTGCCCCTCATGCTGAATCTCTACACTATTTGAATTGTGACAATATTTATTTTCTAATTGATTGGAATTACAGTAGTGTCGCGATAATCCGGATCAATTAAAACCTGACCAATCCGGATTATCAAATTATTCGGATTACTAAGGCATTTTACAGTCCGCTTTTAAAACTATTTTGAAAAAAAAACATGCTGTATTTAAGCAAAAAAAGCTTTATATGTATTTGAAAAACAAGACAAATAAAAAAAAATAATTCTATATAGATTGCGAAATATGTAAGTATGTACATTTTTGAAAAAGCCCACACAGTCAGGAAGAATGCTGCGTATTGAATGATGCATGTAGATATGTAAAAACCACCTATCCACTTGAACGCAGTTACAAAACGACACGTGAAAACCTGTGCTTTTATTTTCAAGAGTAATGTAAATGAATTCGGATTACTGAATCAAGTGAAATCCGGATTAGAGTACATTAAGGGAACGAAAATGCGATTCGGATTACAGAAGCATATGGATTATCGCGGGATCGGATTATCGCGACACTACTGTATGTATTAATTTTTACATGCGAGAAATTATTGCAATTTACACTTTTGAAAAAGTTTACACTAGAAGCTACTTCTCCAAAACTTGCAAATGGTTTATATGTTGATTTTAACAAAATTGAAAGAGGCGAACTTGAAAACCAAGTTGAAAACCTTACTGATGACACTATGGCTCAAAAAATTGGTTTGGGAGAATTTTTCCTAGAGAACTGGACATATCTGCATTTTTCACTATTTAATGTCATCTCGTTCTTAACATATCACTCCTGGAACCTCAGAAGATCATCTTGCATTTTCCCGTCTGGGCCGACTTGATTTAAAATGTTGAAAATTTTCAAGTCATCAGCACGAAGTAGAAATTTGACATGATGGAAGCAAGACCCTATGTCATTAATAAATGAGTAAAATAGGAGTGGTGCAAGATGACTCCCTGAGGCAACGCAGATGTGACTTTAATAATACTCAGACTGAAATACAATCTGGCTCTTGCGTCTAAGATAAAAGTACATCCATTGATGTGAACCACATACACCATATTTAGGAAGTTTGTCTATTAACAGTGTATGACTTTCCCCATTGAAGGCATTCGAGAAGTCAGTACAGATAGAATCTACAACCTGGCCAACCTCCAAGGCCTTCAAGATGGCTCGTTCATACACCAACAAATTTGTTGTTATAGATCAGCCAAAAAGCTATATTTTTTAATTTTTCATTTACTAGGGATTCAAATATCTTTGGAAAATGGGATAATAGTGTTATAGGGCGGTTATTCTCAACATCCTCCTTTTTGCCAGAATATTTAAAAATTGTACATATGAAAGATAAGTTTCAATACTTTGGGAAGACTCCAACAGACAATGATTTATTATAGAGTAGCCACAAGGGTCTAGATAAGGCCATTGCACAATTCATAAGAAATGTTAGAGGTATTCCAGGTACTTTGTTTATATCGATGTAACTCAGTTTATTGAAAACTTCGCTGTTGCTAGGTGAACTATTGATATGTACAATGTCCTGAAAAGCAATAGGTTCACAACTTCCCACAGAACCCACAGCACCATGCAAAGAGATTTGCAATGCCCTCAGCATCAGACGCCGCGTTCCCTTCATAATGAAGTGTGTGTGGCAACTGTACACAGAATAAAATAATTTTTTGAAAGAACCAAATTCCACTGCAACTCATACTTCTTCAGAGAGCTCATTAGCTATGTCAATCACTCGGGACTGTATACCTTTACGTATAGCCAATAGTACTCCTCAATTTCGATTTTTTTCTGTAAATACATATTGTAATTGCATATACCAAGTTCAGCATCTGAGTAGTCTCTGTTATCATAATAATGTCTTATTGGCAAGTAGAAATATTATTACACAAATCGACAAGTTTTGTCCTTAGCCCATTTACATTTTGGTAATGTTAATTTTGAAATATATCATGTTGATTTTTATCAATTATGTAATTCCTTCATATTCGAATTTGTATTATTCGATGTATAAGAAAACTTACCAAACTATTGAATTTTTTCATTTGCTATACGTGCTGGCTGATATTTTTATCATAGCTACTAAATTATGTATTATGTTTACCTCGATGTTTACTGTGTTCTTTTAAAAAGAACATATTTTCTGTCAGTAGCATACTTAGTTACATGCGCTCCTCTGTAGAGCTTTGTATTGCCTTGCTATGGCATGTATTCCTATGTATTCTTATGTATTCTCACGTATTCCTATGTATTTTCATGTACTCCGATGTATATTCCCTTGTATTCATATGTATTTCTATGTACTCTTATGCTTTATCTTGCGGTTTACCCCTCAGTAGAAATGATTAAAAAATTGTTTTTTTGTGTGTACTTACTCTATGTTATTCACCTCACAACTCCTGAAACCCCAAAGTTTTTACACTTTATGAGAAGTGGTCTTGTTGTATCATTTGTGTCAAGCCTGTTCTGTTACAGTCAACTATATCTTGGCTGCAATTTTGATCTATTTTCAGCCGCTATAGTATTTACTTGACTTCTTGCACATCTGTCACTAAAATATGTATTTTTTTTTGCTTCTTCATTGCTGAAACCCAGCAGCATTTTAAGTCGTTGGTACAATCCTGCGAAGGCAGTAAAAAACAGAAAAATATTTAAAGTGCAAATTATTTGATACAGGTAAAATTGTCAAAAGAAACTGGATAGACGAGTGTTACAATCAAAGAAAAAAATTACCCTGGCGACGATTTGCTTTGGACAAAGCCGACCGCGGGCCTGAAAGCGAAGAAGAAATTTGTGAACAAGATGACTCTCCTATTCCAGCCCCAAATTCGCCACCTAACGGAACTAATTCTGATTTGGACGATGATACGTTAGTATTAAAAACAATATTTCTAATATTTATTTAATAACTAATTTATTTTAGAAGGGAACAAGGTTCTGATACTGAGGAAAAGATAGCCAAGTTAATGAAAAAACAAGCTGAGCCCAAGTGTAAAAAACATCAGAAGGAATATTGTGTGGACACAGATAGTGAGCTAATGAGTGACCATAGTCATAATAATTTGGAATTCCAGAATAAATTTAAGGATTTTTTTGAAAATAAAATATTTTATGTTGACGAACAGCTTGATAAGGATTTAGTGAAGACTATCAAACAGTATATTGTGGCTTATAATGGGTAAGTCTAATAACACAAATTAATTTTGTTATTTTGCATGCAATTTTTTTTCAGAATTCTCGTAGAAGATCTAGAAGTATCCATAGACTTTATAGTAACAAACACCTCCAATTACAAAACGTTCAAAGACTTGTATCCCAGCGCCCTCTGTGTTGCTCCAGACTGGATATGGGAATGTCATAATTTACAAAAACTCATGCCAACAGAGGATTTTATCTTCGCGTAAGACTTTGTATAATAATGTACTGCTTAATCAATAGTTTAAATAAAAGGCGAGGCCACTTAGTGTATAAGTTTCTCGTAAATTAACATCACATTCTACTTGTAAGTTGACAATTTTCTGATCCCTGTTTGATGTTGTGTATAAAGGAAATTCTAATAGGTCGTCAGTTTGTGTTTGACCCTAGAACATGTTCAATTAAATAAATAAAATTATTATTAAATTGACTAGAATTTCACCTTTTCTATCCAGCTTAAATAACAATTTGGAACCAAATTGATAGTTCCAGAGTCACTTTTACACTCTCTTAAAGTATCATTCTCTAGCAGACCCCCTTCAATAAGTAGATCGGATAAAATAATTGCATTTCCACTGGAACGGTTCCAAGTTGTTCTCAAAATTAGGTCTTCTAGGGAGACTTGAGATGACCTTAAATAAAAATTGCCTGTAATGGTTATTTTATTTTCGCAGAGTCTTTACCTGGCAAAATCTTGCTTCGTACAAGCCAGATATGTTTCCGGATTGAAAAACATTGATAATTTCACAGGTTGTTTCATTAAATTGTCAATGTTGGCCGATTTCCATTGCGACAAAAATATAGTTTTTTGTAGGACCTCTTGTAAGTATTGACTGGGATCTTTTGGCCCGTTCCAAACATCAAGCCACGATTTTGGAGTCTGAAATTTTTGCATTTTATTAACATTTGTCTGAATAAATTGCTAATTTACCTGAGATTTTAAAATACATTTAGCCACTTCAATATAGTTATCATCCGCTTCGATAGTGCCTTTTGATATTTTATTTAAAATCATGAAACATTTATGTATAATTTGTATTAGGTTTATTCCTTTTGCGTATTCGTCATATACAAAACCTTCTATGGCAGAATCGCCTGTATAAGTGTTGGAAAAACTTAGTTTTACAAAATCCTGGCCTTGATTCAATTTTTTCCATTTGTTGAAGTAGGGATATAATTCCTTAAAATTAATGTCCTTGGGGGTTTGGTTTTGGTAAAATCCTTTTAATTGTTGAATTAATTTCAATGATAAATGATTTTCTCTTGCTTCATCAATGTTTTCTGGTAAACCAAACATAGACGGATGATCTTTGTTTGGAAATTGTTTAATAATTTGTAAATATTCCTTGAAATAAATAAATAAATTTTAAACAAAAATCCCTTATTCATTCTTACTTTATTATGGCCAGTATTAGGTAAGCTCAAATTCAACCCATATGGTTTCCATTTATGACTTAAAACTTCATCTTTGAAATAAATCTTCAAGTAAGCCTCCAAGATGCTTATATCGTCAATATTTTCAATTCTTCCACCATAAACGGCATCGTTAAGCAACCCTTTGATGAATTGCCATTGAATTCTTGTAGTTTCCACATTCCAAAAATCTTCCGTCAAACTCAAACTTGTTTGCATGTCAGTGTGATTGAATTCATAGTATTTGGACCAACCTATAAGACACTTTTAGAAGGTGTTTGAGTTAGATTTAAAATTCACCTTGTGGTACATATTTTCGTCTCTCTTGCACTAAAGCGTGTAAACAAGCAAACACGAAAAATAATCTTGCAGAAGTCCTATTTAATTTATTATTATATTTTTCACCCAATGAAGAGTAGATTCTTTGCATATTGTTACCGATACCTTGTGGTTCTTCGTAGGCAATTTTTAGACTGTTTTGTGATAATACCGAATTGAATTTTTCAGTGGATTCGGAAATAAGCCATAATCTACAAAGAATTTTTCCTTTTTTTAAGTTTGACCAATTTAACACAAACTTTTACCTAAAATTATCCACAGATTCGCTTTTCCTAAGATTCTGAGCTAAACTTGGCAGCCAATAAGTTACCAAATGCAAATTTTTCAATATCAGCCAGCTGCCGCTTTTCCTGCACTCCTCAAGGCTTTCCAATGCTTTGGACTCTTTTCCTTGCCCCATGGCAATCTAAAAAATAATGCTAAAGCAAATTTAACCCAAAATTAGTTTTCTACCTCAACAAAGCCATGATTAAGCTGCCTTGCCAAATCTCTTATTTCAATAGAAGGGTCCATACCAGATGTGGTAACCAATAGAATTGGTTCTTGCGGATTTGATTCTTTCAGGACGAATTGTAGGCTTAATACTGGTGGATCTACTGTTCTGAGACCTACAGAAGGTAATACATATTTATAAATTTATAAATTCATTAATTACCTGAAATTCTTAAACAACAATTTTCAATGCACGTCAGTAGTTTAACAGGTCGTAAAGCTTGAATTAGTAACAGTTTCTTAAATTCAGATAATTGACAGTGTTTTGGGAAATCTTTGTCCAATTGTGTAGATTCCATGAAACTCGACCACAAAGTTCTTTCATTTAGTTGAGCTTTGGCATAAACATTAGGCAAGTAAGTCTAGAAAAATTATCATTCAATAATTTATGTGATATTATTTTGACCATACTAACCTTTAGGTTTAAAATTTTTGGGATTGAAAGTGGTGGAATCCAAGAAGGTAAATCAGAAGACTCGATTGTTTCTTGATATGGTACATTATCAAGGAAAATATTCATTTCTTCTTCTGGGATATCGTTGGGAAACATTCTGTAAACTGAATGGAAGAAAAACGACAGCCTGTCATTTTTAAACATTCCTCTGCTCATGTAATTATATACGATTTGGAAAAGGTGCTTTTTTTGAAGGTCAGGATTTTCTTGTTGAGACTATAAAGGAAAAAAATAGTACTCATGAGTAATAAATTCTAGTTCTCGATGTTATGTGAGACAAAAAAACATGCTCCAACCTTTTTAAGATTGTTATTTTCTGAAGCAAAATGGAATTCTATTCCACAAGTTCTTACCTGTATCGTCTGTAAACAAATCAAAAACAACCTACTATAAGCCTTGGTAGATAGAGAATATAATACATCATATTTGGTGAATTCTTTACAAGCAAAATACAATTTGCTTCCAAAAGATGATATATCCAAAAATATCTCGAACTCCTTACGTAAGACGGTTCGAATTTTATTTGACTCATTCAAAGCGTCAGCTACAGCCATCGAGCTGGATTTAGTTTCGTTTAGGGTTGTTAACAGATCCTAAAATGTTTGTAATTAAAATTTTCAAAAAACTATTATGGTTATTGCAATTACCTTGTTATTGAGAATATTTCCATCTGATTTAGCCAAACAATCCAATAACTGACTTTGCAATACATAAAGCTTCTCTTGTAATTCTTCGTTTTCGTGCAAAAGTTGCTTTCTTCTGGATTCAAGTTCGGGTTTTTCTTGAGTTATTGCACTTGATAATAGTTGTTCTATGGGAATTTAATTATAAAATAAGATTAATAAATTAACACCGGAGTCTTGGTAGGAGAGTCAGGAGAGATCAGGGTAATTCCTAGTCTCTCCAGAACCACTGGCTACTTTTGTCTCTGCTGCAAGGATACGATCATCGAACCCATTTTGCATTTAGTCTTTATTTCCATTATTACATTAACTTAAAACTACCTTAATCTACTATAATCATAAGTATACTTAATTCTATGTGCGCCAGAGGGGCACGGCCGATGTTTGTGGCCCGAATTAGGTAGGAATACAGTAGGCGTGGCAGTGACAACCAGTCCGGTGTGACTCTTTTCTGGGACAATCTATGTTGCTCCTTATAGGTCCATTCACAGTCTTGACTTTATGTCGTGTTCGTGGATTAAAGTGTCCAGTAGTCATTTCATAGTTGCCAAGATATTTATGAAGGGAAAAATTGAGAAAAACCCTTCTTCACGTTTCTTTGGTGTTGATTTTTAAGCTTGCGCTAGTACCGGCTGGCCTCGGTCTGCAATTAAATTAGGTGGGCGTGTCTGTGGGTGATACCCCGGAGCTCCAATTGAGTTGTCGATCCTAGTTAACTATTCTAAGTGTAGATTCTAATTCAATTACATTCCGTTCGCCGGATTCAAGGCGGCTCGAAATAAATTGGCAACCTATGGTGTATGGGTCGGTGTTTTACAGGGTTGTGTGGGTCGAACTTGAGGGTGGCCAGGTTTCGGGTTAGGGTAGGTCCGTATGCGGAACGATTGAAGAATTTGATTGAGACTTCATTGAAGTATTCGATGATGGTGTTTATACCGGCAAGTCGATGTACTTCTATCGTTCGGGCGTCCATTGGCAGTGAAAGGGCGTTTTTAAGAATTTTATTTTGGAATACTTGGATCCTTTTCTTCTGTGTGTTGGAAATAAAGCTCCAAGCAGGTGTTCCGTAGAGTAGAGTAGGCCGTATTATGGTCTTGTATACGCTGATTTTATTTTTTGGGCTCAGAAAGGAATTGGTCTTCATGATGGGAGATAGAAGATGCTCGGCGATCTGTGCCTTTCTGAGGGTGTGAGTTACCTGGGGGAGGCCCTTGAGGGTCTTATCAAGGACTATTCCCAGGTACTTGGCGGTGAGTTTGGGTTCTATTACGACGTTGTTAATCGTCAGAGGGGGGTTCATGATGATGTTCGTACGCTTCCTGGTAAGCGTAAGAAGTTCTGTTTTGGGGGTGTTGAGGTTGATTTTCCAGGTCTGAAGATAGGGAGTGATGAGGCTAATGTGACGTTCCAGCGCCCTTCTTGCGTCTTCTGCAAGAAAGGCACTGGTGTAGATGGCGGTATCGTCGGCATACATCATGACTTTTGTGTCATTGGTTTTGGGTATGTTGGCGATGTATAAATTGAACAGGGTGGGTGAGAGGACTGTGCCCTGCGGCACTCCGGCCCGAATTGGTTTGGTTGGGGATAGCGAGCTTTGAAATTTGATGTTGAATGTTCTGTCATTAATGACAGAACATTCAACATCATTGCCTCTTAAGGCAATTAAAGAAATCAGGTGGAGAGGTAAGTTATGTACAGTCAGTAGTTTGTAGATAAGGCCCTTGTGCCACACTTTGTCAAACGCCTTCTCTATGTCGAGTAGCAGTAGGAATGTGCTCTCTCGGTTATTGAATGCGAGTGAGGCGTCCTGAGCTACCCTCGCTACTGCTAGAGTCGTGTTATGCTGAGGGCGGAATCCGTATTGTTCAGTGAGTCAATTACAGCGGAAAGTCTACGTGAAATTATTTTTTCGGCAATTTTGCTTAGGGAGTTTAACAATGAAATTGGTCTGAAGGACTGTGGTTGTGTTAGGTCTTTGCCGGGTTTTGGGAAGACTATTATGCTCGCCTGTTTCCAGGGTTGTGGGAAGTGCTGGAGAGTCAAGATCGCGTTAATGATTTGCAGGAGATGCATAATAGTCTTTCGGGGGAGGTTTTTGACCATTTGGTTGGTGATAGTGTCAGGTCCGGGTGCTTTTCTGTTTTTTAGTCTTTTCAGTGAGTCAGCTAACTCAGATGGTGTGACCAGCATCCGCTGGTGAACTCCCGGAGGGATAGGGTATTTGCGCCTGACAAAGGCGTCGGCGATGTCGTTAATGTTTGTGTGTGTAATAGTTGCGTCGGGAGTTTCGCTATAAACCCTAGCGAAGTGGTCTGCGAAAACGTTCGCTTTGTCCTGTTCCCTGTAGTAGCTGACACCAGCGACTACCAGGTCCGATTGGGTCGTGCCTGATCTTCGAAGATTCTTGGCCAGCTTCCACAGGGAGTTGTCTTGGGTCTCCAGAGAGGAGACATACCTCATCCAGGACGTGTTCCTGTGTTGACGTATGCTCCCTTCTATCTCCCGGCTGAGTAAGTTCAGTAGCTGTTTTTCTAGTAGGTTTGGACACCTTTGCCAAGCGCGCTTGACCCTATTCCTCTCCTTGATGAGGGCAATAACGGGGTCTGGAATGATGTCCGTCCATGCTTTGGGGGTGATTTTTGGAGCTAGCTGATTTCTGACTTGCGTGATGTTGTTTGTTATAAGTGTCACTTGCCGCTCAAGTTCAGGGATGGTAGTTATGGGGTCGGGGATTGTTGTGATGTCGTTCAGAAGTTGCTTGTAGCGTGTCCAGTTGAAGTTTTTGTAGCTATGTATTTTTTGCGGTTCCTGCACTGGAGGGTTTTTCCAGTACAGGAAGAGCGGTATGTGGTCCGAGTTAAAAATGTTTTTGGTTTTGATAGTCAAATCTCTGAATCCCCTCGAGAGAGCGATATCTATCGTTGAGGGGTTCAGTCCGTTAAGCGGGTAGTGCGTGGGGTTATTCGGGTGGTGTAATGAAATGTCTGGGTTGTCACTTAAAAACTTGAAGAGTATTCTACCTGTCCTGTTGTTTGCGTGGTTGAGCCAAGATGTGTGCCTGGCATTAAGGTCCCCCAGCAGTAGTGCCCTTCCATATCTGGGAAAGAAGACCTTAATGTCAAGGGCGGTTCTAATCGCTTCGGGGGGAGCGTAGCCACCCGAGATCCACAAATTTTTGTCTATTTCCAGCGTTATGTGCTCGTTGCTGGTGTTTAGGGTTGGAATTCGCTTATAGCTGACTGATTTGTGGATCAGGCATGCTACGCCCCCGCCTCTGCGATTTCTGTCCATTCGTTCTGTGTTGTATTGTTTGTGCTTAAGGCTGTCCGTTAGTAGTAGTTTAGTCTCGTTTAAGAAGATTAGTTTGGGACCGTAATGGTCCATGGCCTGATATAGGTCTCCCCTCTTCGAGTTGAGACCATTACAGTTCCAACTAATTATGAGCCACATTTAAAAGTCAAAACTGTGAATTCCAGTGGTGAAAAATTGCATGGTGACCTGCAATACCTGCGATTTGTCACCATTGCACTGTTTAAGGAGCGCGATGTAGTGGTTCAGAGCTTTGAGTAGTTCTGTGATATTGACAAGAGAATTTAGCTCATTCATTGTTGTCGCCAGTTTAAGAAAGTCGGATTGGTTGCCACTTACCGCTCCTACTATATTCGTATTCGTATTAGTATGTGGGATCGCTGATGTTTGCGGTCTTGAGGTTCTGGGAGGAGGGAAGTCCTCATTGTACCTCTCGGGTCTGGGCCGAGGTACCAGGCTTGTGGGTGGAGCTTGGGGGAAGCTGACGTTCGTTTGCCAGGCAGGATTTTTGGGGGGCGGGGCCGGGACAAGTCTCCGCCTTGGCTCCAGCTGTCGAAGCTTGTAGAGGTATACAGGACAGGTTTCGTTGCTGCTCCTGTGAGCACCTCCGCAGTTAGCGCAGATGTCTATAGGCCTTTGGCACTCGGTGACTGCGTGTGGGCCTGAGCATTTGCTACACTTGGTTGCTCGTTTGCAGTATGTAGCTGCGTGCCCTAGTCCCTGGCATCTGCGGCACTGCATTACAGGCCGCTCTGACCGACGATTCTCCCATGTGATTCGGACGTTTAGTATTATCTTGTAGTGCTGGTTGAGCATTTTTAGAGTGTAGCTCGCATCCAAGATGACAAGGTACATCGGTTCGAATTTTGTTTTCATCCTGAAAATGTTTTTGGGAGTGATTGAGTACCTTGTCTTGAGATCGTCGGTCAGTTCGGCGATGCTAATGTCCCCATCGAGGCCGCGGAGAACAAAGGCGTGTCCCTTTGTAGTCTTCTCGGCGTAGGTATGCTGTTCGAGTTCCTCGGCCTCGAAGTTCCGGAGCAGGGTCTGCCAGTCCTCGGTCAGGTCGCAGTAAATTATAGTTGAATTTTTTGCGTACCTGACATTCAACTGGGTTATGTTTAGTTTTAGGAGGACGTCTTTAAGTTCTTTATGGCTTTTGAACTTCCCCTTTACGACGATTGGGGGAGGTTTCGACGGCTTGGCAGGTGTTGTTTTGCCCTTGCTCCGGTTGGGGACATTAGGGCGGCTTGAGGTGCTTGGTGGGTTCCTGGATGAGGTGGCGCTGGCCTCCGAAATGTTGCTCGCCACCTCATGAAATTCATTGTCCGACGGCAATCCATCGAACATATTCCGTGTTGGAATTGGGGCACCAAAGTTGAGTTGCCGCTTTACGACCATTTGCTTGAAACCCATTGTTCTTATTGGCACTTTGAACCCATCGTCGGTAGCTGCCGGATTTGTTGTCGATAAATTGTTTGCGACGTTTTTTGTTGCTGCCGAATTTGGGTCCGGCAATTGTTGTTGTTGTTGTAGGGTTTTTTGTGCTTCGGTATTTGGTTTACTCGGTGTCCTTGAACTGGGTTTCAGCTTTTTGGTCGTATTTACCATGTTTTTGTGGGCGGTCTCAAGGTGCGAGATGGCGTTATTAATTGTGGCTGTGTTATATGGCTTCGGGTTGGTACTGGAACTCATCTCTTCCTTGTAAAGTGTGTGGCACTCGTTACATTTGCTTAATGCGACTCCCAGCTTTGGTTTGAGGAATTTGATTTTTTCTTTAATACAAAAAATCGTCGAGCTTTCGTTCGCAAACGAAATATCGGAGGCGTTTTCGTCTTCCTCTTCAGACATGTTCCTCTTTGAAGAGGTTTTAGGTTTAGGAGGCGGCGAACGTACGGTTCCGATGGTAGGTTTGAGAAACAAAAAATTTAAAATTACAGAAAGCGGTGCGAATACCCAGACGCACGAGCTGGTCTCTGATCGGCGACCGAACAGAGAGTGCTGCAAGGATACGATCATCGAACCCAACAACAATAAGCAGACGAAACATCAAGAAAAGTTTAAAGGAGTGGTTGATTTCCTGTAAAAGTTTCATGGGAAGACGAGGAAATATAAATGAGACCATGAAAGAAGAGATAAAAGATCTAAAAAATTCAGTGATGTAAAATGACGGTCATTTGAAATCGTGACGGTCATTTGCGTCATGGCGTGTCATGACGGTCATTTGCGTCATGACCTCGGTCATAGTAAAGTATTTATTTCAATTTAAAACGCCACTACCTACAGTCTATCGTCTATTAACTCACAAATGGGTTTAAAATAAGAATAGTCAATTATTGATTGTAAAGTTTTGAAAAATTATTGAAGAATTCAGAACAGAAAAAATTTCAACAAATTACAAAATTAGTGAATAAAAGCTATCCTAGCCTATCAGGTAAAATGAAATAACAAAAATAATAGTTATGCACCTTACAAATGCAGAAGTGATACTTTACCGCACGCAATGGCAGTCGTTAAGTACGGTAAAGACATTTTCCGCATGTGTTAGGTACAAAATTATACCTATGAGCATCTATATCTTCCAAAGAAGGCATTATTGAAATTTCTGAACGAGAAGGGATTTTTGAGTGTATACTTAAACACCGAATTTACTTTACCGCATACTATGCGGTCTACTTTACTGCACATTTCCACACTATGCGCTAAAATGGTCATAGCCAACGGTCACATTGAATCTGACGTGTGACGGTCATGACCGTCATGACCCGCCGTCATGCGCGCTAGTCATGACCCACTAACATCACTGAAAAAATTAAATAAAAGAGGTTGATTAAAAAATACCTGAAATGTGTTAAACCGTTGCACTCAAAAAAAAAATTGAGAAGAGGGTAGACTCAACCAAGACCTCAACGAAAAGACGAACCGATATAGAAGTTGAGCTCATTCTTTTTAAAATAACAGAAAGAAAGCTCTCTAGAACCACCTGGTACTTTTGCCCTGGCTGCAAGGATACAATCAAGAAGATTCCAGAGATCCAAAGAAGGGTTAAATTACAAGCTTATTTTGTAGATGTCAAATGGTATTCAAAAGCCCGATTCCTTGTCAAAACGTGGAAAGTTGGATAAAGAAGGTACCATCGATTCAAGTAGAGTCAGTATTCCGTCAGCTGAACAAGATAGCATTTTGAAAAGACATATCAAAGCTAACACCAGAAGAATTCGAACAACTCAAAGTAAAAGTCTTGAAAGAGCTCAAAGAAGAACAAGAAGCCGTTAAGAAAATCGAAGCTGTCTTCATAAAAGTTGAAACACGTACCGAAGCATCTGAATCCGGTGTTAGAAAAATCGAGAAAACGTCTATAGATGATAATATAGATACTGAAGAGTATCTTATCATTGAAAAAGAAGAAGTAGAACACGGCTTGTTGGATCAAAGCGAAGACGAAATGCAAAAGCTAGTAAGGGATAGCGAAGAGTCCGATAAACAACGTAAATTAAGCGGCAAAGAAGGAAAACTTAAAATTGAAGCCCAAGAACAGAAAGTTGTTGAAGTTGACGAGCCAATAAAAACTCTTAAAGAACTCGATGCGAAAAAGCCAGAATCTGACAAAAAAGAACTCACCGGAAAAGAAAATGAATAAATCGTGGCGTCTCATCCTGAAGAAAAAGTTTTCGCAGATATTGAATCTGGAGCTACAACCACTGTAAAGACAAGCGCATTACTCTTGGCGAAATTAAAGACATGAAACAAGGGGTCGAAGAAAAACAAGTCAAAAAAGAAACCAAAGAAAAAGAAATCCTCATTATTCAGCTATCACCAAAAAGTCAGCATGACAGTCAATCCAAACCACATTCAGTGGTAGGCATTTCATTAGATAAACACGTTACAGATATTGTAAAGACTCCCGATGAGGTTGCCAACTTGCCTGTTCACGAAGAAGCTGACTATCAGGAATTTCGAGATAATAAAAAGAGTAATGAAGTAACCGACAAAGAAGGTGGAAGGAAAGAGGAAAAGGAAACAGATGATGTTGAAGATAAAGTTAAGCTTGATGAAACTAACAAAGGATCTCAAGTAACTAAAAAGAAGAAGAAAAAAGGCAGCATGGCGGAGTTGAGGAAGAAGCAAAAGAGAAAAAGGGAATTGTTGTTAAAGCTAAAGGTGAACAAGCTAAAAAAGTACCTCAAGATGAAAAACCAACAAATTTATTTAGCAAAGATGTTGAAGTACCCAAAGATGTAGCCAAAGAAATTCCAATTGAGTCAAATCAAGTTGAAAGTGATAGTTAATTGAATGATTTTGTGATTAGTAGTAGTCAAAAGTAGTCCAAACTATCAAGGGAGTCTCAGATCGGGTTGCTTATCTCGTACTTAAAATGAAAAGAACATCTCTTAAAATTATTCAAGTGTACTTCAACATACGACGACGAGAGTATCGAAATATTCTATGAAGATATCTCAAAGGCTATGGAAGAACATAAAACTGGCCTTACTCTAGTAATTGGAGATTTCAATGCCAAACTTGGTGAGAAGCTGAATAAAGAAGAGACTAAAATAGGGGACTTTGGGTACGGTGAGAGGAACGATAGGGGAACTACCTTGATGAACTATCTAGAAGAAAAACATCTATATGCGATGAACTCGTTCTAGAAAAAGAAACCGCAAAGAAAGTGGACATGGCTCAGCCCTAACGGAACAACGAGAAATGAAATTGACTACATACTGACCACTGAAAAATATATTATTAAAGATGTAACAGTCCTGAACAGATTCACCACAGGCAGCGATCACAGAATGGTCAGAGCAAAAATACGTATCGATGACAACATTGAAATGGAAAGAAAAATTAATGGAAACAAGGGACAACTAGACATGACCAAACTTACACAAAATAAAACCATATACAAAGAGAGACTGAAAGAACAACTGACCTAGAACTTGAACAGCGATAATGAAAATATAGATAAAATATACGATACATTAGCGGAAACCATGGTTAGGGTAGTAAACGAAATCGCACAAAAAGATAAAAAGAAGGTAGATTGCATATCAGATGAGACAAAGAAACTCATGGAAAGAAGGCGGAAACTGAACGAAGAAGGGAAAAGGAAATCGATAGAATACACAGAAATCAATAAGACCATCAAGAAAATGATAAAAGAAAACAAAAGAAAGAACCAAGAAATAGAAATAGAAAGAGTCATAGAGAATAACAAGAATATGAAAGGCCTAAGACCAACACTAGGAAGATACGAAATAAATAAAATAAAAGACAAGAACGGCGTAGAAACTAATATTAAGGAGGATATCATAAATATCACACAACTGTTTTATACAGAACTATATCAACAAAAAGGGAATAGACTACAGATACATAGACCTAATAACCAACATATATAGCGAAGCAACAACAACTATTAAAGTCCATGAGGGAACAAAACCAATACGCATAGGAAGAGGTGTCAGACAGGGCGACACAATATCACCCAAACTTTTCAACCAGGCTCTGGAAGATGTTTTTAAAAAACTAGACTGGGAGGAAAAAGGTATTAAAATATGCGGACAACACTTGAGCAACTTAAGATACGCGAATGATATCGCCCTTATAACTGAAAAGAAAGAAGAGCTGACAGAAATGCTGGAAGAACTTGACAGCAGCTAAAAACATGGGTCTCAATATGAACTATGCTAAAACTAAAACAATAACCAACACAGACGATGACATCATAATCAGAATAGGACAGGAAAAAATAGAACAAGTCGACGAATATATATATCTGGGACAGATTATTAAACTCAGCAAAGAAAACCAAACAGCAGAAATCAAGAGACGAGTTAGATTAACTTGGGCAGCATTCGGTAAATTAAGCTACATCTTGAAAAATAGAAAATATCCACAATACCTCAAATCCAGAGTTTATAATCAATGTATACTTCCTGTTCTCACCTATGGATCCCAAACATGGACACTTACAAAGTCAAACATGGATAAAATACCAAAAGCACAAAGATCAATGGAAAGACAAATGTTACATGTGAAACTGATAGATAAAAAGAGGAACGAGTGGATAAGAAATAAAACGAGAGTAAGAGACGTTAGAAAGGAGGTAGAAAAATTAAAATGGAAATTCGCAGGTCACAATATCAGACAAAAAGACGACCGATGGAATAAATGTATCTTAAGCTGGAGACCTTGGGAGAATAAAAGAAGTAGAGGAAGACCCCAGATGAGGTATGCTGATGACCTGAAGAAGCACGCTGGAACCAGGTGGATGAACATGGCAACAGACAGAGAAGAATGGAGAAGACTGGGGGAGGCCTATGTCCAAAGATGGACTGAAGAAGGCTGAATAGATAGATAGATAGAGTAGTCAAAAGACTGGAGAAATCCAAAAAAGTTATATTTTAGAAAAAGTCGATATAGAAACCAATGAAGATGCTGTCATTGTGCAAGAAGAAAAATTGAAAGAGAGCATAGACGAGGAATGGGTCGTATAACCAGTAGAGAAAAAGAAGAAGATGTAATCGCCGAGGAAGCTAAGTTTTACAACAAGTAAAAGAACTAACTAAAAAAGACACTATCGTTTCTGATATCATATCTAAAAAAGCTGAACAAAGAACAAACCGCCGAGAGCCAACTTCAGCTAAACCTGATTTTTCATTACCTCTGGTAAGAGCAGCTGATTTCAAATCAGAAAAAGAAATGGATACAGCAACTACCGAGTCCAATAGCCACGAGATACGTGAAGGAGATGAAGTAGAAAATGTTAGTAGTGATAAAGAAAAGATGACATTCAGGCCCTTATTGACTAAGCTGACAAAAAGCCAAAAGAAGATACCATCGTTGCGAAAAAAGACGAAGTGAAAATTAACGAAATCAAAGAAACAAAAAATTTAATTTCTGAAACAGAAACCAAACTTCAAGACCTCAAAAAAGAAGTATCTGTGCCAGTGGAAGAAATTAAATTAGACAAAGGTGAAAAAGACTTGTCCAACATCGAAGAACCTGGCCAGCCTGACATCAAACCGAAATTGGATGACATTACCAAAATTGATAGTAAGCTTATTGAGTTAAATTGTGAAACACAAGAAGTCATTGTTGGTAAGTCTACTAAAATCACGGATTATTTAGATTCAGCAATCAGTCAAAAAGCTGAAATCGTTGAAACATCCACTGATCATGCAGAGCCAGCAATCACCGAGAAAGCTGAAGTCCTCGTAAAAAAATCCACAAGAAGTCCTGAACATGCAGAATCAGTAGTTCTACCGGATTCTTCTCCAGAAGACGATGGACCACTTGTGCTTAAAGCTTTAGACATTGACAAATTAGAATTGGGAAGGACGTAAGTCCCCAGAGCAGAAAGGGAAGATGATATTCAACTTATCGTTGCCAGCGTAGCAGAAGTACCTAAATCAGAAGCACCTTTAGAGAAGTTTGCAAGTAAGCTACCTTTTACTCAGGAACAAAGAGAGACACATATAACTACTCAAGATTCACCTATTGTGGAATGTAAAATTATCAAAGCTTTTATACCAACAATTTCTGATGAACCTTACGGAGAAGAAATTAATGATGTTAAAGAAGACGACGAGTCTGGTACAGTTCTCCGAATTTTAGTGACAACATCTAGTGAAGATGGAGGTGAAGAAATCGAAATATGTCCTGCCGGAACTATCACTTTTTCGAAAAGCTCCAAATACTCTGGTAGATCATCTTCGGAATCATCAAAAAAAACTCAGTCTCAAAAATCATCAATTGTTGAAACATTATCTGACACTTTTTCAACTGTAAAACAAGTAGCTGAAACTGGTGGTAAAGTTGAAGCTTCTATGGTTTATTTTTTTCCAAGATAGATTTTGGCATTGTCAACTTTGAAACATAAACAATGCCGCTAATGCCATTTATTGGTCGCTATTGTAAAACTGATGTCAACCTGCAGAAACACCTCATTTTGCGACCAATCAGGGTCAAGTGTTATTGTTTATGTTTCAAAGTTTTCAATGTCAAAATCTATCTTGGGAAAAAATAAAGCATAGTGTTGTTATTGGAGCGTTCCAAGTGGTAGAAAAGTTGGAAGAAAAAGTGGATAATTTAAAAGAAGAAATTTGAAAATCTGAAGCAAGAAATGTTGATGATGAAGTGGATAAAACACATGACGTAGAAATAGCTAAGAACAATGAAATTAAATCTGCAGATGTTGCAACAGTTGATGCCAAACTCGAAGAAGAAGTAAAAGAGGTAAAGTTCATTAAATATGTCGAGAAAGGAGCAGAGATGAAGAGAGAAAAAGTTGAGTCACCAAAAGATTACATTGAAGTTAAGACTAAACCTGAATCTGATGCAGGAATGGTTCCCAAACTTTCCATAGGGCAAAGTGCCGAGGAGCCCAAAGATAAAGTTGAAGCTATACCAGCATCGCCTAAGAAAGAGAAGGTTACTGCAGAGGCTGAAGCTGCTAAGCATGATGAACTTTGCTAAGAACCAGCCATAAAGGTAGTGCTAGCTAAGGCTACAGAAGAAAAATATGGAGAAATACCTAGTAGGCTTAAAGAAGAAAAAGAAGCTGCTGAAAAAAGATACCAAAGAAACCCTTAAAGATGTTACTGCTGAGATCTGCAGCGCGCCAAAGGAAGCTGCTACAAAAGATATAGAAGCTGAAAAGCAAGATGAGAAACTGATAAAGGCATCTAAAAGTGAAACTTCACTAAAATCTCCTGAACAAAAAATTGGGGAAAATTCATGATACACAGAAAAAGGAAAGAAGTGACATCAGCAAAACTGTAGATCAGCTAAAGAAGCATATCAAAGATGCTCAGCAAAAAATCATTGAAGAATCTACAAAAGCAAGTGAAGATATTAAAAAAGCCTCTGATGCTATCTCCAACAAAATTACAGGTACAATATCAGGCATATTTGATAAAATTGAACAGCATGTTGAAACTACAGCAGCAGCAGCAGCTTTTGAACATTCTTCTGAAAAGCTTGACGATTCACAACCAGAAACCAATAATTATCAATCAATAGATAAAGATGTGAGTGAAGATGGTCAAGTACCAACACCAAAAAGGCGGCAGAGCATAATTGGCAAAAGTCAAGGTTTTATCGAGTCATCTGAGAGGCTTTTGAAAGTGCTTTAGGCTACATAACTACCAAGGCGTCTTCTGTTTTGGACAACATTATCACTATAACTAGACTCAAACAAATTATCAGGGCAATCTACTCCAGAATCCAAAGAATTGAAAGATTCTCCGAAGTTGACTTCACTGTACCTATCTGATGTGGATACGTGCAGAAAGTCTATACCAGACTTGAAAGAGTCCAAAGAATCATCTGGAAAATCAACTCCCGATCCCAAAGAAATTGTTTCAGGAGCAATAAAACTTGATTTACAAACGTTATCTCAAGAAGTATCTCTGACACTATCTAGAAAATCTACTCCAGAACCCAAGGAAATGAAGGAAGTGGTTCCAGACGCAAAAGGAGATTCTATCGATTTCAATAAATCATCTGCAGTCGGTCATATTTATGCACCAACTCTATCGGGGAAATCAACTCCAGAACCCAAAGAATCCATTGTTGATTCAAAGAAAGCCAGTATCGATAACAAGGGATATAAAGTTCTGACTAGAAAATCAACTTCAGATGCTAAAGATATTGAAGATTCTTAAATTGAAACTGAAAAATTTTCAAAAGATGATGCAGTATCTGGAAAGGCTACTCCAGAACCACAGATACAAGATTTAGAAAAAGACAGTCTGTCTGGAAACTCCTGGAAAAAAATTGCTACAGAGGACACCAAAGATAGTCCAGGTTTCAAAAAAAGACCTTGAAAAACCCAACAACAACAAGGAGATAAAAAACTTAAAGAAGGGTCGATTGCCTGTAAAAGCTCCATGGAAAAACGAAGAAATAAAAATGAGACCATGAAAGAAGCCATGTAAGATCAAGAAAATTAAATAAAACAAGTTGATCAAAAAATACCCGAAGTCAGTTAAATCGTTGCACTCAAAAAGGAGTGGGTAGTTTTTATCGAAACTCCAAAGGCGAACCGAGTCAGGAGTTGAACTCTTTCTTTTTGAAATAACAGAAGATAGCGTCTAGCAAACAGTATCTTGATCTTTGGCGTGGATGAGTCGTGGTCAGTGGAAGCAGAGGATAGGGTGAAGGAAGAAAAGTAGATTGTCAGCAGCTTTTATAGTATAGTCATATTATCAATTAAGTCTGCGAGAATCGGCTAAAAGGCAAGATTCAAATTGACAAAGACGCGTTAAGATTATCCTGCCAAGCAATTAAGGCCTTCAGAAACAGAAAACCATAGAACTGAATGTACCAGGAGTATAAAGGCCACTCAGGCAGAATATCAGAGGAAGTATTTGAAGTAAGTCCTTAGCAAAACAGAAACGTGAAAACGTGGTCATGAAATACAGTTTAACTTACCAATGAATCCAGAATAAGTCACGTTAAAGTTGAGGACGCAAATGTATGGAGCAATGTCAGCCGAGAGTTGGATGCGTTCATTTCTACTGCACATGATTAGTTTGAAATTTGTGTGGCAGTCTATTTGTCTGCCTTGCAGACGGATCATCTTTCTTTCACCTATAACATATTGTAAAGCAATATAGCAAAAAAATTCAATTTTATTGTAGTAGGTACCTTGATAAATATAATCACCACGTAGTATCGGATAGAGACTGTGAGGCACTTCTTCTAGTTCTTCTATTAATAAAGTCTTTCCGAATCTAAAATATAGGTTCTTTTAAATGTTTTTTTTATATAAATGATGGAATAGTAAGGCAATATTGATAAATTCACTGGTGTACCTACTTACCGTATAGATGCCTCTAGTATTGTATTGAATTTCGATGAGTTTGACGTGATGTGATCAAAATTTTGCCCAGTTTTCGTGTGATGCACTTTTAACCAACTTATAGCTGAAGAATTTGGATCTACTAGCAATGGTGACAAATATCCCTAAGAAAAGAAAAACAATTTCTAAGCAGGTACAGGATTATTGGTTTATAAGTAATAATTATTGTCGATTCTATACAGGGCAATCCAATTTTTCTATGTATGATGTATCAAACTTTAAATCAAAAACCGTGTATAATTCTATTTTTTCTGTTAGATCTCTTCCTCCTAATTCTAAATATAGGTATACAGGGTGTCCTACGACGTTTTTCCCAGCTGATAACTTCGGAACGCGTCATTCAATATAATTGAAATTTTGAGGATCTGGGTAACTTTTTGTGCCGCTTCTACCATTGTCATCCAATTTCACCACTTTGGCTTCAATTTCGGTCAAGTGATGTCAACTTTTGAATCTTAAATGTAACTCATGGTATATTATGGCATTTTTCGTTAGAAAATTAAATTACAAAATTCGAAATGCCACATTTGTTAAGGCTTTGTTAAAGAGAATGATAAAAAATTATAGGTAGGGAACATACGATGATGCGTTCCGAAGTTATCATTTGGGAAAAACCTCGTTGGACACCTTGTAGTTGGTTAGGTCTATCTTATTTAGTTTTTTACTTTCTTTTCACATTTATTTATTCATCATCGGGCGAGCGCGAGCCCACTTACAAAATGTTAAATTCTCAATTCACAAGTTGATCAGAATAAACAAAGATAACAATAAAATAAAATAAAATTAACTTCTTAAGAATCAATAGCAAAAGCAATAAAAAATACAGTTACATGAGAAAACATGAGTGAAGTTTCAGTAGGGTAGATGATAGATAGGAATAGTGAAAATAGGTAAAAATCACATAAATGAATAAATAAATAAATAAATAGGTGTTTATTTCCAACATTAAGACCCAATTACAGGAAATTTACTTAAAATAAACATGTGTGAGAAAATAATAATACAATAAACAATGCCTAAAATTAAATCTATACCTAATATAAATAATTAATGTTTAAGATCGTGTTTGCGATCAGAGAGAAAAGATCCACAAAAATATCACAAAGGTGAGAGACACCATTGAAAACACTGCATATGAAGTGCATAGGACTCTTTCAACACTGAGAACATGTAATGTGATTTTGTTAACAAAGGAAATACAATCCACATTATTATGAAGAAGGTTAAACAAGAACTAAGCAGCAAGAATCTTCTATCTAATTGCCATGGGTGGTTCATCGTGTCGCGATAAAAGCAGATTATGGTCGAAGCCTGTATGACAGATATTCAAGAAATCTTCGGACTCAACACTGGTTATATGGCAGTTATACACAGGATTCCAGATTAAAGAAGCGTAATCCAACTTGGATCGAACAAAAGTGTAATAGAGAAGCTAAGTAGATTGCTGTGTGAAATGTTTACTGTATCGCATAATGAAACCCAGCTTTTGAAATGATGCGGTACAAATATGCTCGTTCTGTGGTGTGGAGTAAATGTAAGCTGACAATCAAAAATCATACCAAGATAACGAGTCTGCCTAAGCTTTGCCAGAGAAGCGTCACCAATTGAATAATCAAAAATGAATGGATTCTTCAGACTGTGAAAGCTCACAGTGTTACATTTGGCAATGTTGAGGTATAACTGTTGCCATTTCACCAATCACCAAGAAGATCTATACTAGTTTGCAAAGTCATACAATCCTTTACAAAGGCTATTGGCAAAAAGAGCTTCAGGTCATCAGCAATTATTACATGTAATTGCACCAATAAGGTCGTCAATGAATATGTTAAATACAATAGTAACGCTCGATGTTGGGTAACAGCGCATGACGAATTTGATAGTCACACAGGTGCTATCTTTGGCAGCCGTATTCAGTTAGTCTGTGCATTTTATTATGGAGCGTTACACGATTGAGCAACGCGTCAAAATTGTTACAAATTAATATCAAAACGAATGTTCTATTCGGCAAACGTTTCGTGCACTCCGTGCAAGTTATGGTGTCAACGATCATGCTTCAGAATCCACAATTCGCCGTTTAATGAACAAATTCGATACAACAAGGTCTGTGTTCGAGAAAGTTACTGTATGGTGTGCACTGTAGTCCGGCGGAATAATCGGGGATAATACCACGAGATCTTCAAAATTATCTGGTCCATTTTAAAGTTCGAGTGGTATTTAGAGGATTATTTCACGAATAAAAATGCAAAAAATAAGGAAAAAATATGGATGCTAACAGGATCCGTTTGTTTGTATTGGTACAAATAAATGGTTGAACAACAACTGTTTGTTTGTATCAAAAATTAGTATGACAACCATCCTATACGATAACATGGGAGAATTATAGAATGTAATACCACAAGAGGTTTCAGGATTACCGGATATACTTTTACCTGGCACGAAACACGTTACACAGCAACACCACGACTCCGAAGGAGGAGTGGTGTTGCTGGTAACGCGTTGAGTGTCAGGTGTCAGGTAAAAGTATTAGGTAATCTTGAAACATCGAGTGGTATTCAAGAGGTTATACAACGAACTAAACTTTAATGCTTTATTAATTTTTATCATTATTAATAACAATATTGCCACCAAGCGCGATAATCCCAAAAGGCTTATCACTTTTTAAGCCTCTCGTATCATATGGGAATAATGTACAGTGAGTGGTATAATCGGGGATAATACCACGAGAGCTTCAAAATTATCTGGTTCATTTCAAAGCTCAAGTGGTATCTAGAGGATTATTTCACGTTATCACGTATGAGAATGCAAAAAATATGGAAATAAATATGTATTAAGCGATTTGAACATCTTAACAATCAATGCAAATAAATGTTTTTTTTTTTTTTTACGGATATGCGCACTCGCAAGGAAATGTCCTATCACGCTCGCGGAGCGGCAAGTGCGCGGAAATGTCGGTGTATGTTGGTCTTGAAACGGGTTCAGGTTGTAACCTGCAGGAAAAACCGTCGCAGGGAGTTTATTCCACAGCGATGCTGTTCTCCAGAGATATGAGTTCTGATATAATGAGGTTCTTGGTGCCTCTAGTTTGACAGTAAATTCATGGTTACCGTCTGTTTGACGGGTTCGCCTGGTAGGCGCTACTCTCGGTGGAATCATACGTGCCAACTCTTCAGAGCAGTTTCCGTTCGAGACCATCCAAGTTTCGAGTAAGTGCGGGGTCATTGATCAGCTTGATAGCTCGTTTTTGCACGGTGTTCAAAAGCATTAAGGTATGTTTGGGTGCTGCACTCCATATATGTGAGCAGTACTCCATAGTTGGTCGAATCTGGGCTTTGTAGAGTGTCAGCAATTGGCTTGGTGTGTACAGATGTCTTGTACGAAATAGCACCCCCAGCTTTTGGGACGCCCTTTTAGCAATATCTGCCACGTGACTGTGCCAAGACATGTTGGTCTCTGCAGTAACCCCCAAGATGTTCAACTGACTCTGTAATGTGACAGCACTTCCAGATAGCATGATGTTTGGCTCACCGGTGCTGGTCTTTTTTGAAAACAGAGCTGCTTGGGTTTTCTGCGCGTTGAACTGAAGAAGGTTTTTGTTACCCCAGTCCTCTATTATCTCCAGGTCGTTATTTATCTGCAATATTTGAGTTAGTCTAAGATGATGGAATTCACGTGCGGAAAGACCTGTGGGTGGTATGAGTGAGGAGACTACATTGCCATCGTCTGCAAAGCAATAAAGTGGATTTACTGTTTTATCTATGAGGTCATTTATGTAAATCAGAAAAAGAGTTGGCGAAAGGATTGCTCCCTGTGGCACACCAGCATTTATTTGGTAAGAGTTGGAGTTCTGGCCATCCAGTGCAACATAAATGGATCTGTCCTTTAGGTAACTTTCAAACCAAGTGCAAAGTTTCGGCGATAATCCCATTGCTTTGAGCTTGTTGAGCAGATTTTCATGCCAAACTTTGTCGAATGCTTTAGATATATCTAAGGCAATTGTTCTTGTTTCACCCCGCAACTCAATCGCTTTTTGCCATAAGTGAGTGACGTATGTAAGTAAATCGCCAGTTGACCTATATTTTCGAAATCCGTATTGCTTATCGTTGATAATTTTGTACTTTTCCAAGTACTTGGTTAGGTGATTGTTCACAACTCTTTCCATTACTTTTGATATCACCGGAAGTAGAGCAATTGGTCTATAGTTTAACGGATCTGTCTTTTTTCCTTTCTTTGGAATGGGTTGTACTGCGGCAGACTTCCATGATGATGGATATACTCCTTGCCTGTAAGACAAATTGAATAATTTTGCGAAAGTTGGGGTGAGTTCGTTGGCGCAATTTTTGAGTACTATTGCGGGAATGCCATCCGGACCCATTGCTTTGTTTGTATCTAGCTTTTTAAGGGATTTTCGTATTTCTCTGTGACTATCAAGAACCGTTTGTTTCTATCAAAATACATGACAACCACGTATACAATAACATGGGAGAATTATCACTGTAATTCTCTCTAGTTAAACAAATGGAAAAGAGAATTTTCGCAGTAATTCTGAAAATCGTCACTTGTCTTATGGGATTTCTAACACATGAGTGGAATAATCGGTACAATATTTTTTCTACGTATCATTCGGCACATGTTACACTGACATTATATCGCGAAATGGTAAGGTGACGATAATTGGCCGCCCAGATCCTTCGACCTAACGCCACTGGAATATTTTTCCGGGCCTTTCTAAAATCCAAGGTCTATGTGTACAAACTGCGGACGGTTGACACCTTAAAAGTCAACATTAGACGCGTTATTGCTGAAATTGAGCCACTTTTATGCCATATCGTCATCGCAAATTGGGTATCCAGGATTCAACAAACCAGGCAATGCCGCGGCGGACATTTATCTGATATAATTTTTAAAACATGATGTTAACATATTTACTTCACAATAACAATGGAAATAGATCGCTATAATTCTCACAATTTGTTTGCGTTACAAAAATCAAGCGCTTCTAATCGAAAACCCTTTAGTAGATGAATAGTCGGTACCCGACATTAGTTTATCATTAAGCATTTTGCTCGCGGTGATAATGTCCGCAGCACCTATGTGACACATGTCT